TATTAATGCTTGATTTTCCATTAAAGCTTTTAATGGTTTGAGATAACTTTTAAGTGATGCATTTAAAACAATTTAAATACATATTATTCAACAAAAGCCAAATTCAAGAGTTAACAAAACACAAGCCTCTAAATTATTCACGAGGCATACTTTCCACTTGAAATATGTTTTGCTATAAGTGCACCTGATTTCTGATTCACGCCCATAATGCGACCCCAAAAAGAGCTTTGCATTTTGCGTTTTTGGGACATGTCCCTTGCATCGTATCTATAATATGTGAGCCACATTTAGTGCTCGTACGTGTAGTTTTATCCTTGTGCCAGATTGATTTTCCTTGCTGACTTTCCCACAGCCCATCCTCTTTGGTTGTTGCTTTTGTTGGTGCGCATTGTGGTGGCAGATTCTTTTTTCATACGCTCCATGCTCTTATTGATTTTTTCCTTCTGCTCATTCGCTTTTTTCTCGTGCGGTAAAGCAAAAGGAAAATCGTTTTTCTGTTCGATATTTTTTTTTCTTTTTTAATTGCATTATGCAGTGAAATCACAGGGCGACAAAAGAGGCAGGGGCCAAAGTTAATTTCATTTGCGAGTGTGGACAGGATGCAGGCGAAATCAGAGTCTGGGGCTTGGCTCTGCCCATTGGATCCCATTGTTCGGCCCGTCAAAAGTTCGAACTTTGCTTTTAACTGATTTGCCGGGGGGCGGGGTAATGCGATTGAGTTTTCCCAAACATTTCCGTTCATTGCATTGTTTGTATTTGGTTCAAGGATTTTTCACATCTGTTAGGGAAACTTTGGAAAATTGCAGTCAAGTAAAAGCTAATTGAAGTGCAAAACACAGAAACATTATATAAAATTCTTATGAAACGGAAGTAAAACCCTTTGGCGGTCTTTTTACATATTGGTACTTAAATATTAAATTTGCCTTTTTATTCTTTTTATTGAAGTAGTCAATATTTCTTTGGATAGAATAACTTAAGACTTGACCTTATATGTAACTTGTTAATTTAAGTAAGGATGAACTTATTGCCAATATTTATTCTATCCTAGCACCTGGACAATTCTAATTATCGTAGACTACACAAATTCAAAGCTACTTCCATTAAAGTCAAAAATTCTTGAACTGTCTTTACTTTTATACTTTTTTTGCAGTTTTCTTTTGATTTGTTTTACCTTTTTCCATTTCCTTTAATCTGGTTGGCCATAAATCTGCGTTGGGATCATTAATTTGGACCCGCTTAAGGGCTTTTATCCGGGGACTTCATTTCTGTGCTACAATCCGTTGCACGTGTCCCACTTTCCCCCACTGTTGATTCCCTTTATCACCTTCCCTTATCAGTGCAGCGACAGACAAAGACGGGCAGAGGTACACAGACAGAGGGAAAATGCCAACTGTTAAGTTTTTCCAGCTTACCAGAAGTCGGTAATATTTTCACTCCGCACTTCGAGGGAATTCCCGAGTTTTGGGTGAGAGCAGGATGGCCAGAGAAATGGGAATGGGAACATAAAAAAATGCTAATCATTTGCTCATTAAATCCGCATCATCCGCTGCCGACTTCGCTGCTAGTGTTAATGACAGGACACCAGCAGGAGAAAAGAGCCGAAAGAACTCCGGAATAAGTGAGAGATAGAAAGAGATGTACTTTGAGGCCCGGGCAGGCCGCACAGCTGTTCTGGGAGCCTCAAAAGTTCAACGAGAATTTGGCACAAGGCAAATAAATAAAAAACAAAAACAACGAAGAGCAGCAGCCAAAGAAGCAGGAGCGAAAACCAGAAGAGAAATAAAGTACGAGCAGAAGCACGAAGTTGAGTGAAGGGCAAGTGAGGGGCACTACAGGAGATAATAAAGTTGACGGAAGAAGTTACTTAGGTTCCTGATACAGTAAAAATATAGTTTTATTTAATAAACACTTAAATATCTATCTTAGAAACTTTTATTTTTAGCTTTGGAAAAATTATAAAACTTTTCCTTGAAAACTTTTTTGTTTAAGATTTTCAAAATAACTACAATTTAAACATTATTTTAAACATACTATTATACTATTATTATATATTATTTTTCGGTATCAGAAACTTAAGCGAAAATAAATATGCCTGGTTATGATAAAGGAGATTTGAATCTAATTTCGGGCTTACAAAGTCTAATTGTGTAACAATCTGTTCATACCTTAATTGATTATTAATTACATTTGATCGTTCTTTGAACCAAAAAATAGCACAATAATACTTTGCAGCTTACGGAGTTGTAAAAATTGACTTTTTCCCTGGTAGTCATCTGACTGTGTTGTAATGTGTTAGCTTTACCGTACCCTCCCCGGTTGGGAAAATCCACCCAAACCACCCACCATCCCCATGCGCAGACATCTTAACGGCCTGTGAAATATTAGGCCTGGCCCAGGAACTGGGATATGGTCCTCCATCAGAAAAACAAAACAGGCCACTGGGATACATAAACCGGGAGTGGGGTCGAAAAAGGGGGGAAAATGGGCCGGGGTGATGCCAAATCATCTGTTTTAAATCGATTTTCCTTGTTTTTGTTGTCCTTTTTTCCTTTTCTTTCTCTTTTTTTGTGTATGCTTTTTTATTTTCTTTACACTGAGAAAACCTCTGCTTTGGTTTTGTTAAAGTAATAAGAAAAAAATAAATAGTAATTAAAATGAGGGCATTTTGATGTATATATTTTTTTAATATACCATAGAACAGAATCAAAATAAAAAAAACCACAACATTTTTTTCGCAGTGTACTAGTACATTTGACTTATCCACCAACTGTAAGAAAATCTTAAGCCCTTGGGACATGCGAAAGAAGGAAAACTGCGGCAGTCATTGCCTCTAATTCAGGTCTTAAATTTTCTTTTCGCAAAATATAATCTAGAAAAAATACTCCTACGCCCACACTGAACTCCCCTTTTTTACTATCTGGCTTTACGAATCTGTAGCTCCCCCTCGCAACTTAATTGACCCCAAAAATAGCAACGAAAATTGCTTTAAATTTGTTAAACTTCAACGGCAGCCAACCAATCTGAGATCTACGCCTACGGTACCGAAAAGAGAGGGCGATAGAGATTACTTTGGAGAGGGAGCCAAAGAAATCGAACGAGGCATTTTTGCTCATTAAATAAATCAAAAATTGCTTGGGCTGCTCAGTTGTTGTCCATAAAAGTCGAATTTCTCGACTCGAAGCGTTTCAAATGAATCGGAATACTCGTAATTTATGCAAATTGGGCGAAATGTTGGCCAAAATCTTGAACAAAAATGTCACTTTTTGTGGGCCAAGACGAAAACAGATTTATTCGGAAAAAGAAAAGTTGTAAATTGTATTTAATGGATATATCCAAAAACACAAATTCAGTAAGATCACGCACTTTGGATCACAAAACTTTGGGAGCTGTAAAAATTCAATTAAAGTAGAAGAAGCCAATGATCACGTTTCTTATTTAAGGCGAGATACGAGAATATTTCAATATTTAAATTATTAAATAGTTCTAAGAGAAAAAGAAATCTGGCGAACAGAAAAATTCAAATCAGCGTCCCATTTTCTAATGGTATAAATCTTCAAATGTAAATCTGTCTTAAAATAAACCTAATTCCTATTCTTGGTTAATATATTATTTTAAGAGTTTTGCATGATTTTATTTCCTTTGGTAAACGTACACCTCAGACGAACTGTAGGCGCAGCAAATGATATCAGATTTTTGAAACAATTAAGCAGCCGCATCCACATACAGCAACTACAACAAAAAGCAGCCGCTGACCCAACTCTCGGATCTCAGATTGTTCTCCGCTCGCAGATCTACGTGATATATGTAAGCCCTCTCATCCCGCTCATACATCACCGAAAAAGTTAAAAACAAACTGTGTTACGTGCCACAAGCGAGCAACTATCAGATAAAACATGATCATAACAGCACATATACAATTTTAGCTATTTTCGTGGCGGGCCAGTTTGAAATTTTATTGTTACGCTTGTGTAACAACAAAAGCTACAACAAAAAGCAATAAGCCCCAACAAGAACCAGTCACGTTATGAGTAAGTTAAACAAAAACAATTGAGATAACTGCAGGTTTTGGGGAAAACGGGGTAAGGGTATTGAAAACAGAGGACCGTGCAATTTCCAAATCACTTGCAAAGAAAACGAAATTTATAAATGCCTTTTTATAAGCAGAACCACTCGAGTGAAGGTCCAAATTATGGTGGGCATATAAAACTGTGCGATAAAGAACAAAAATTCGCACAAAAAACCCAGAAGTAAACGTGAATTCGTTGCAAATGAGTGTGCTTTTACGACCGATATTCCCAAAGTGAATCTAAAACTGCAGTTAATACAAAAATATTAGAAGATTGTTACATCAAGTTTCAAAATACAACTCCCAAAACCAAACTGTTGTCGGTATTACTCAGTTACAGACAAAGGTTGATTTCTTTTAGCTTTTAGAATATTTTAAGTATAAGTTGCAAGTCATTTAAAGATGATAAAACCTATTGGTAAATAACACTTGTCATCAAGGTGTAACATTTTCTTCAAATCACTAAGAAATTTCAGTGTCTAGTGCAATGAAGTCCATATTATGATGACGGTTTTTGTAAGACTTTTGAGAAACTGATAGCGGTGTCATTTATAATTTTAAAAAAATATTGAAAGTTTTGCTTTAGATAATCCAACATGTTATTTACCAGGTAATTTTAACAACGTTTTTTAAGTTCATACAAGCCTTTACCCTCTCTTTTAGGGTAGCTCACCTCACTAAATGGCCATTTTCACAACCTACTGACCATGACCATGCGAGGGGCTCCCAATTAACGGTGATCAAGGCTAAGGGTTAACTGCTACACCGACTTTGATACCACCAATTTGCGAGGGTGTCCATGGGTGAAGGTCAAATGGGGGACTATAAAAACGCGTTTACTTCAACGCCACTTTATATGCCTCTCAGGTTAAACTTTAATTTAATTTATTTTCCGGGCAATCAATCGGCTTGTGGGCTTTTCACAGTTACTGACCTTTTTTCCTCTGTTTGCAATTTTCCTCAAATTCGTTCAGTTTCGGCGCAATTTGTTTACTTTTGCAGTTTATCAGCGTGGGTTGTTGTTGTTTTTTGGGAGTTTTTCGTCCAGTTTTCGTGCTCTTTTTTTGGGCTGGGTATTTTGGGGCCCCGAAAAAGGACGAATTCTATATTGGGCTCGCTCTCTCTCCGGCGAAGTCTCTCTTCCTTTTGCTCCTTGCGCGCGCGCTCTTGCCAATTGATTTTCACTTTTGGCGATTGTCAAAAAGACGGCAACAGAAAAATAATAATAAACGAACAACGCAGGAATTTTCACTTGTGCCACTTTTTGCGGCCGCCGTTTTTTTTTTTTTTTTTTTTTCACCTTTTTGTATTTTGTTTGCTGGGAAACGGGTTTAAGAAATTCCTACTACGTTTTTTCCTCTCTTATTCCTTTCGTACGCCTTTTTCCTACTGACTTTTGCATTTTTCTCCTTCTCCGAGATGCTTACACACACACACACTGGGACACACTCCCACACACACGCACCGGCCAAACAACAAAAATTCTTTCGCTGTCTTTGATTTTTGTTTCTTTTCCTTTTTGGCTTTGATTTTTGCTGCTGCAAAGGCGAACCGGTTTTTGTTTTTATTTGTATTTTTCTTCGTGTTTTTGCACTTCACATCGATCGGTTTTTATTTTGTTGTTTTATTAGCTGCAGTTGGCAGTTTTTAATTCTAATAATCACCACAATTATTATTTTTGGGCGATTTTATCTGAATTCCGTGCACCGTTATTTCGCACGCACACATACAGAAGGCTGTCTGGCACCGTCTCGCTCGCACACTTCTTGAGCCTGTGCGACAGAAAACGCTCACAAAACGGTTTGTGAAAAATATTCAAAAATTCGATTGTTTCAATATTTGTTTTATTCCGGCGACTTAACGGTTACCGATGTGCTTTAAACATTTTGAACATTTTTACTCGCGAAAACACTTGCAGCACATGCTTATTCAACGGTTGAAAAGGCAATAACAAAAATCGTAGGTAAGCGGTCTAGAGGTGGTAGAGTCTCGATTGGCCTCATCGACGGCTTTGGAATATCGTTGATTTTTCATCTCTAGTTTGCGAGAGAAAGTTGGAATTGGAGAGAGGTTTCTGTTAACCGATTGAAGCAAGAGGTTCGAGTCTGCGCTTAGTTCTTATTCGATTTTTTTGTACTTCTGTCCCACTCATTTTTCGGGTATTACGAAAATTGTTTTGTTGTTTAATATAACTGGGGCTTATTGGGTAAATCTTAAATGTAAATAGTTTTTCAAATATTATATTTTAAACTGATTAAATTCCTTAGACCCCCGATTTACAAACACGTTACAGTTCTCTATCACGCCATTCGTCTTCCCGTTTATGTTTATAGTTATAAACGAGTGTATCCTAAAATTTTCTTAAGGAACAGCTGAATTTTATTACTGGACAGAAATAGAAATAATACCATTTTATTTAAATTGTAATTTTTTTTATCAATGTACCTTTTTAATAAGCACTCTGATAAGAACAAAGTGGAGACTTCAACATTCATTAACATAAAACTTCTAACCAATCAACTGTTAACCGCAACTGTTAAGACTCTCTCTCTTGCTCTTTAAAACAGGTGCTAACAGCTCCTTAACATTTCGGCTTAGCAAACGCGGTTTTTGCTGGTCACTTTCGTCATTAGTTGAAAAACATCAACAGCGGCGGAAAATCAAACGCCGCCCCCGCCCACCACCCACTCCCCCTCGACCACCTTGACTATTTTCTTGCACAAGTTCTGGGTCACTTGGGCCTTTTTTCAAGCATTTCCTAAGGTTTTTCCCCAATTTTCCTTGGGCTGGTTTTTCATATTCCTGTCTTAAAAGGGGAGGGGAGGGGCCACGTGCGGCTCATCTAGCGCCTATGTTGTTGTTGCCTTTGGGAGCGACAGCTTTTCTTTGCCGGTCCATTGTTCCCAATTTCCTAGTTTCCCATTTGTTTTTTGTTGTGCAAGGGTTATTTCCACAGGCGCCTTAAATTGTGGTTTTGTTTTTATTGCAAAAACTGAAAGTCCAAGTGGATTTTTGCCCATTTTTATTGGCCCACAACGATTTGAGTCTTGCTAATTGCCAGCTTCAAAAGATTCTTTAGTGATGTTATGGCCACTTCAGAATAAATTAAAATTTCTGCATTTTTAAAGTTTGGCCTTCTGCACTTAAAAGTTTTTAACTTTTTATAAAATTCCTCACATACGACTCTTTGTAAATTAAAGCAAATAAATGATGTGAATAATAACCAAAAAAAGAGCAGTATCGAATCTAGTTTTAAATTTTCCTCCCATCCTGACAAAAGAAAAGATATCTTCTTTATATATAATTTTCCACCGATTAAACCTAAAACTTCAAACCCATCACTCATTTCGCTTTTCCCCACTCTTCTCAATTGACTTGATTTATGCAAAACTATGTTCCTCCTCAGTTTTGCGGGAAATGAAAATGTTCAGTCAATAAACGTGAGCCGAAAAATGATGACCCTAGAGGTCACATGGAGTTCGCTTATTATGAGAAGGGGGTGGCACTTTGTATGGAAAATTTGCAGCGTGGCCAGGAAAATGCAATTTCACTGATGCCGCCGATTTTCGGCTCTAATAATACCGTCCACTTGTGTTAGAGAGATTTTCTTTTGCACTCTGCAAATTTCACGCATAATTAGATAAATTTTTGATTATCTATCTATCTTTGAAGTAGGGCATATTTTTCCTATTGGAATATACTTATGTATATAGGAAGAAATGTGCATAAACTTTTTTAAGAGTCATAATGTTTAATTCCTAAAATGTAAAAATGTATATATTAATATTAAACTTGTAATGCCCTGACTCAAAATTTAAACAGAAATCCATTTAATTTAAAATTTACAGTCTCCCAAATAAGCAACAAAATAAACCTTGGGATATGAAAGACTTAAACTAATACCCATTCTAAAACAATTTATTAAATGCTAATTGAAATTGAGATTCCTTTCAGATTTGATACCGCTACTCCCAGCATTACTAGCTGTTGGCAACCCAAATACTTTTCGTTTTGTATCTTTGGTGCGTGCTAACCTAGCAGTTTGAGAGCCACATGTTACCATAGATGTTATATGTTGCCAGTCAGTTGCTTCATGTTGCCGAGCGATTTATGAGCCAGCTATTCCGTTGCAACGTGTGCTGCTGGTGCAACATGTAATGTGCATGACACGCCCCCCCAAAACCTCTCTGCCTCCGCCCACCGCTTTCATAACTTGCACAGAAAGATGCTTTGATATTTACACTTGGGACAAAAAGCACCTAAACATATTAAATAATAAAGAAACATTTTCCCTTTTCAGAATTCTAAAATTTTTGAATTTAAGAAATTATTTAAAGAAACCATTTTATGAATTTTGATCAAAAATTTATTGTAGTAGTAATATATGCATATAAACCAAATTTTAAATGATATCAAAATATCATTTCAGAATTTTATTGTAATTGCAATATTAAACTTTTTATTAATAATCCTATAATATCTAATTTAAACTAAGGTTTTTTTTTGTGTGGCCCCAATGGGTGGCAAATCTCGGGAAAAATGAAAAAGCGGCAGCCGACGAATTTACAATAAATAACAATCAACAGCGAGGGTGGATAAAGGGGGGAAAAGCTGGAGAGTTAGAGGTGCAGGCGTTGAATAAAGCCCAGCTGCAGAGGATCGCACTCTATCAAACAAAGGTTTTGGGTCCGCCGTTAAGCAGGAAATTCAAATGCAAAAAGCCAGATTAAAATATACTATTACATGACTTTTAATCTCAACATTTAATTGAGACTTTAGATTTTTATTAAATAAGAATAAATAAATAAATAATTTCATTAAATAATACTATTCGAATTTATTTACATTTTTAGAGTTTATTGCAGTTAAAATATTTTGTATCTAACTTTTATTTTTAAAAATTTGTAAAACAAAAAGAATAAACAAAACAATGTCTTTGCTTTTAAACTACCGCCTATAAAAATTGCATGCCTGCCAACGGAAAACTTTGCATACCGGTTGCTAATGTATTCGAAAAGCTTATGATCTGTGAATAATTACGATAGCCTCTTAGCAAATGGTAAAATAATCAAAAAAGCTCCCCTTTTTTGTGAAGGATCGCGGATCATTTTCTGCGGCTCAGCAAAGCAGAAAAATAGGGGGAGGGGGGGAGAAAAAAAAACAAGGCTGGCAAGTGAAAGTCCAACGTTCGGCCGCTTCGTTCACATCTCACTAACCTCGTGATTTATATATTTGGCCCAAACCGGCTGTCTGTAACCCCCTCACCCCCCTCCATCACCCTCCGATTGACTGACAGTTGGACAGGCGGCTGGATAAGGGGCGTGGCATGCGTTGCCTGCATAATGAAAACGTTTGCAGACAGCCCAAAACGGCAGCTGAAAACAAATTTGCATACTTAGGCGAAGAGGAAAGTGAAAATTGCATCAAATATTTTCCAGGCCAAATGAGCGAAAGTAAATCGCAAAAAGGAGCAGCAAAAAGTGGCAGAAGAAAATCGGCAAACAGGAAATGCATTTCAAAGCGTTTGACCATTTGCAATGCTGTCTGAACTGATATTTGATATTCAAATTAATTTTTTCTTTGAGGCAATTATGTAACTGGATTATGATTGATTATGAAGATTATGTAAATTAAAGTCGAGGAGGCATACTGAAATATTTCAAATATTTTACCAGGCAGCTTAAGACTATAATTAAATAAAGCGTAAATATTTCATAATTGGAACTGCTTGGTTTGGATTATAGAATATATTATTTACGGTTGAGGTACAACCCGTCAATAAAATCAAAATATTTTGAGAGTTTAGGAACTCGGCTTAAGCCAAGAGTAAAATGTAAGAAAATATTGTAATATTAAATGCTATTTAAACTGCAATCCATAATTTTTGTTTAATTACTAAACTATTTAGAGACAAAAGTCCTTAATTATAATCAATTGTAAGGAACTGAATGATAATTTAAATAGTCATTATAATCATAGTTAAAGAATCTCCTTTTAGTCGATTTCCAAGACTGTCAAACTGTAATAAGGTAACGAGAAAATTATGCAAAATATTTCGTAGACAAAAAGCAACAACCAGAAAAGGAATTAAGTAATAAATTTATGTTAAGAACCAACTGAAAGCTGTAAACTGTCTCTGGCTGGCCAGGAAACCAGCTTTTCCCCCACCTTTTTTTTCCGCCCGTCCCCTTATTTTTGCTATTTCAGCACTTACACGAATTACGCGACCTGAGAAAATTGTAATTCATAATATTCCATTCTGGCGGGCTGTCTAACAAATCCTTGGGGACCGGCATCCTTGCTCTTGCTGTGGGATCTGTTTTGTTGTTGCTAAAAATAGCACATGCCTCAAGGTTGCCGGGCTAAGGCGGGTGATGGAGGTGGAGATCCAGAAGGTTTCCTTCTGCCACCGCTGTTCTTCCTTTAACGTGTCAAACTTTGGCCAGCGCAGCTCCCCCAAGACAGTTAAGAGATGGAATACAGAATACGGAATGAGGGTGGTGACAGGTGAGCGGAGTGGCGAAAAAAGGACAATATTGCAAAATAAGTTGATCAGATATTCACAGAGCTTGAAAAACTTGAAAGAGTCAGGAAATATAGTGTTATTTACAAGGCAAAAAACAAAAATTTCAAATAAGTACACATGTTTTTACGATTTATATTTTGTTTAGAAAGTATTTTTCTACCTATTGTTAAGCTTTAATTAATTAACAAATAATAACATATTTTAATTTGTTCATTATAACATAATTATTGTTATCACTTTATGTTGACTGCGATTCCAGGTATGTTCCACTACGTCACATCACATGAACTATTCAAGTTAAAAAACACAAAACGACACTGAATTCGGTATGTAGGATAAATCACCCATTAAATCCGGATCAGTGACACCTGCGTTTTTCCATCACGTGAATGCAAGGTAGTGGCCGATTTCCAGAATCGTGATATAAAATATAGGTATTCCAACTAATGTGTATTCAATAGGAAAAAAAACAAATGGATACAAACTATTGAAAAATTTAAAAAATACATATAAATTTAGTTAATATAATACAACTTCTAAGAGTATATATAAAATTTAGTGGTAAAAAAGTTTTAAAAAGAATAAAACTTTAAATAAAAATATACAATATTATAAATTAAAGTTACAAATAAAATAGGATCTGTTAAAACACAGGAAAATAGGGAAGCTCCCCATTGCCACTTTTTCTCTTCCAGGTGCAATCAATTTTTGGCGTAATCAGATGGTTGACTTAATGTTCCTGCTCCTGTTTTTTGCCTCCTCACGATTCTGCTTCTCCTGGGGAATGCTTGCCCTGGAAAAATATTGAAAGTGTCAGACACACATTAAATAAAAGAAGCAGAGATAAAGTGGGTGGAAAATGGGTGAAGAGTCCGCGAGATTGCAATGTAAGTGGTATTCGCTATTTTCCCTCCGCTTTTCGCCGTGCACTTTCACATCATTTGCATGTTATTAAGCGCCATTTGATGAGGGACTGGCTGTTGGCAGGAGTGAGGTGCATTTGTAAAGCAAACTATCAGAAATTGCCCGATTCCTGAACTCACTCTCATTTTCCTTTTCCCAGGAGTATGCAAAATCAGAAGTGCAGCCCCCCCTTTTTCGGACAGCTTTTCGCTCGAACGCTTATTAGTATTTGTGCAAGGGATTTGTGTGAAGGATTTGCGGTGTCTTTTACTAGGATGTTGAATTTTCTAAAAAGGGGTTGGCAAAATCGTAAAGGAGAGGTGAAAACCTCAAATGCGACACATTTTGTGAATGTGCAGGATGTTCATGCAAGAAAAGTTTTAATGCAAGGGATTACAGTTTTAGCAGCACTATAATAAACATTTTTTAAGTTCTAAGGAACGGGAAATTAGTGTATTATATTTTGGCATATATTTAAAGCTCGTAATGGATATTTATTAAAGAGGAAAATATAATCTGAATAAGGTTTTTTTTGCAACGCCTTTTTTTTCCAAACTTGTAATTCAAGATTTATTTTAAAACATAATTTTGAGATAGTTTTTTTATTGGTCTATGGAAGTTTTCGTTGTTTGGAAGAACCTTAAATATAATATTACCTATTTAAATTTAATTTAATCTCTCTCGCAATAAATAAAAATCATTTACATTGAGTCCATAAATTAAAGGAGTTCAACCTGGTTAACATAAGCCACCAAATGTGCAACAAGCTTGCCAAAAAAATTAGGCTAAACACAAAATAATAATAATAAGCAATAAAGAAACGCACATGGTGGCTGTTAGCTGGTGGCTGACCCAGTGGGTTTCTGGTCCGACAAATTGCCACAAATTAAGACCAGCTCGAAAAAAGGTATAAACCAAATGCTCCCGGCAGGTGGTAAGCGAAGCGAAACTGCAACTGCATCTGAAATTGCATTGCATTTGCAACCAGCAGCCAGCTAAAGACATTTTTAAATCAAATTCGATTTGGGTCTTGGCATTTGGCGATTTACAGAGTCTGGGAATCGCCCGGCTCTACACAATATTTTCCAATTGCGTAACTCGCTGGGAAATGATCAAGGAAATATTCAGGATTTTTTTGGGTAATAAAAAATGTCTCCGAAAATCAGATTAAATAGTTCCAGTAACTCAGCTTCCTTTGATAGATATATTTGGCTGTAAAGTTGTTAGCCTTTATAAATCATTGATATCTCACTTTTATTTTATAAATTAACTGATGAGCTTTTATATCACTTTATACAGTTTTATAAATTTAATTAAGTTCTCAAGTATCCTTTTTTAATTAACTTTTTCCCTTTTTATGTTTGAGCTGCTGACAAAATGTTATGAAAATAAAAAATTTATTATGAATAATTTCAGAATTTTCCCAACGATTTAATGTTGGATAAATAAAATAATTGAGATCAATGAAACTAAAAATGTGGTTCACATTCATAGAAAATCTTGTACAAATTATCACTTTTTCTTAATCACCGAACTTGATCCTGCAAGCTAATCCTGGATGATCAGTTATAACTCTGGACGATCTGTTCGTGATCACGTTTAACGCGCTACTGAAGTCCCAAGAAGTCCACAATGTCGGTATTACCCTTGACGCCATGAAAATCCAGAGATATACATAATAATGTCGTACTGTACATAAAATGTAATAAAATATATGACTGATACTTATGCAAAAAAGAAATCACAAATAAAGAAAACAGTTTTGGCTGGCCAAGTACCGACAATGTTCCTTAGCGCGATTCGCTCTGCAATTTGCTGACTAGTCAAAAGGGTATTTAACCCATTAGTGCCTCGAAAATAAATGTTTAACAATTTGTATGTTCATCAAATATATATTTAAATATGGTTCATTGAATATCAATTATTTTAAAACCCATAAAAAAATGTATAAATACAAATCTATCTATTACCAAATGGGTATATGGTTATAAATATATAAACTACATGATCTTTTTTAATTATATTTAATAATTAAAAAAAAAACATACATTCCCTTCAAACTGTTTTAAATTTTTAAAAAAATTTGAATAAATTTAAAATGTTATGATATTAATAATAAACATAAGAGAACCCTATTTACATAAATAGAAAAGGGTATGATATTAATAATAAACATAAGAGAGCCCTATTCAATTAGTAAAATGTTTTTCATTTGAAAATGTGATTCCATTAAAATTGTTTTTAATTTTATAATCCTTCATAAATGGGTTAAATTGAACTGTATAAAATATTAAAGCATTTACCAAGAAGATCCAAGTTATATGGAATTATCTATGTATATACATATCGTGTATATGCCCCTTGGAGCTTTAATGAAATTGTAGCTCTTTGTTCAAGCTTGCCTGCAGCGAGCTGCTAAATGCAATTCTAAGCAGAATTGACTGCAGACTACATTTTGACAAACCCTTAAGGCAAGGCAACCGTGTGAACACTTACGGTTATATAATGCCAGATAAATCCGCTCTCTGGACACTCTTTTCCAACCAACGCATTTTGGGCAGAATCACTTTTATATTCTACCGCTGGGAAATATTTTTCTCACGCCGCCATGTTTCCTGTTTTCCTTCTGTCCAGTATATATGTAGACCGGCTTAAAACAAATCAGTCCATGATAAGGTAACCTTAAACCCAGACGTGGAATTTGCTCAGGTTTGCAACGAAGCGTTCTCTAAATTCCCAGAACTTGCATTTTACTTTTGGCTGTCAATTTACATAATTCATTTCTTTTATTTTAATGAAATAATATTCCTTTTAATTATAGTTATAATCACCAACTTATTAATGGCTTTCTTGAACATATTTACAGAGATGTGATCTTAAAATGTCATCATACTTAAATGTAACCAAGATATAAAAATAATATGTTTTTAATCCTAGTGCTTGCTTTGCGTTAAAGAGGTCGCGGCTGAAGTCGCTGTTGATGTCGACGTGGCCGCCAACTTGGAAACGGGACCAATGTTAACCACTCGACGTACGGCAGAAGCTCCAGAAGATGACGATGCTGATGATGAGACCACGGCTCCACCCGGCACACGATTGGCAACCATCTGTACTGGAACTTGCTTAATTCCGGCAGCGGATTGGATGTAGATGTTACGAATAGGGGTCTTCCCGTCGCTGGAAACTGTTTTTGGAGTCCCTCTTGGGTTGCTATTGATCACCTGGAACTGGGGATACGTCTTGTTGGACACGTTTCCCGCTTGACGGAGAGTTCCTTGCGCTAGACCAGTAGCCGTGGGTTTGATGGTCTGCACATTGACGGTCTTAACACCGCTAACCAATGATCCTGTGGCAGGATCCACCAGCAAAGGACTGCTGGAAGCTGTGGTCGTCACTCCTCCAGTCTTCGGACTGCTAACAATCCTTATGGGCACGCGGTGTGCACCAGGCACCATATTTCCCACCGGTTTCATTGTATTTCTGTTGAGATATACAACTTTATTTTGTCCGGCAACTGTTCCTCCAGGCGATTGGGTAAACAACTGGTGGAGGCCCTTGTTGAGCACAATATTGCCTGGCTTAGTAGCCCCACTGATGCTTCCACTGCTGGTGACTATGCCTGGCGGTTTATTGGCCTCCTTAATGATCTTCTGGCTTATTATAAGCGGGCTCTTATTGGCGGGGCGAATGGGGGCTGTGAAATAGTAAAAGTTATAATAAAATACCAACCAAAGAATCGATGCTTGGACCGACCTGGCTTAACATCCTTATCCACCTGTTGATGCTCGGGGATGTTGCCTTCGTTGTCGGCAAAAACAATTGGCATATCGATAATGTTGGACAAATCCATATTTCCTGACGGGCTGTTGTTTGCTGTAGTGGGCACATTTTTGGTAAGATGCAGCATCGTCATGCCGTTGGCGTTTTTGAACACCGTATACTTCTGTTGTCCCGTCGCTGAAGATGAACCAGCTGCACCCGTAGATGAGCCCGCTGTTGCAAACTGCTGCGTTTGTCCCGTGGGCGTTTTTAGTGTGAAAATCTGCTGGCCACCAACCGATGAACTGGGTAGCGTCTTCACAATGCTGCCAATGGTGGCGGTGCTGGTAGGTCCACCTCCTGCCTTGTTCATCGTGTAGTTGATAAGTTTGCTCTGCGACGGAAGCGTTTTAATCTGTACAAACTGGTTCGATGGTATCATCTTGATTTTGGTCCCGGCGGCCAAATTTACGGGCGGCAGCTGCTTTCCCAGAACACCTGGAGTGATCACCTTAGGTAGGGTTGCGGATCCTCCTGCTGTTGATTGCGCATCTTCGTAGTCCAGGGCATCATCTAGTATGAATTCAATGGATTGGTTTAGTTCTTCGCTGCTCATTTTTGGTTTGTCTGAATGAGGTGCACCTTTTTGGCTACCAGAGCCAGCCGAGCCACCGACATTGGGGAGAGGGCGAGTGCGGGGTCTTCCAACTGAAGGGGGTAGAAATGTTAGTTGATGAATCGGGGTTGGCAACCACAAGTGGCACTAGTAAAAGACCCGTGATGAATTTACCCTTTCGCTTGGCAGCAAACGGATCAATGAGGCGCGGTGGCTTCGGCTTGTGGACGCGATCTTTGGTCGATGGATTAGTTTGATTGGGAATGGCAATGGTTACGTGGTTAGAGGGTTAACATGCGGGATGGATAGTAGGATGATGACATTGTGCTCGATAAAACGTTCAAATTGGTAAAGTTGGTACTCACTATGAGGAACAAACTTTGACTTGGCTGGCTGACCCATTGGATCGTCCTGGCCGCAGTCAACCTTCCGCTTGCGCATCTGCTGAACAGCCTTGTTCGCATTTCCATCAGCAAGAATGTGAGTTGGATGCTTCTGCTGGCGTTGGTACCCTTGCTGGTGCATCAGGGACGTGGGCATGCGGGGTCCAGGCGGATTGCTCAGGGTTCGGTTTACAAAGTCGAAGACCTCCTCCTGTTAAGCGATTGATATTGGTCATATAATTCATAATCAATATAATTGATATTTAAAATTTTGCCTCCTTTAAACTTACCACCACCATAGAATCCACCATGGATTGTGTAACGCCCTCTATGCGACGCTTGCTTTTTGGAACACGGAGAGCATCGTCTGCACTGCCCACCACCACCAGGGAGGATTCGGACTGCATTCGCTCCCGCAAGCCCTCCATTTCCTCCTGGCTGGTGCGAGCTGAATTCTGTCCAATGACAAACAGTATAGGTGCTTTTATGTCGAGCATGCGATCATCGGGTGTCCCACGCGGACCACGGATCGTGTTGTAAGCGAATCCCATGCAAACCACGCAAGCCACGCTTTCTGAAAGTGCAACCTGCAGAGCCAAGGCTGCTCCAGCATTGAAGCCGACAAGAATAATGCCACGATTAGGGTTATCCGTGCGCAATTCGTGGATCCTGACGCGTGTGAGGGACACAATGGTCTCAGCCACCTGGTCCAGATTCTGATTGCCCATTCTGTTGTCTAAGGGGGAATTATATTTAGTTAATTAGCTAATTGTAATTTTTATAGTTATAAACCTACTCGTATTGGGCAAAGTGATCTGCACCACCTGAGTGATGGTGGCCAATGATTGGTACCACTTTTGCATACGGTCCGATACTGGGCCACTTGTGGGCATCGTGGGCAGCACCACCATGATGGCGTTGTGCGTTAGCTGACGCCCCTTGGGCAGAATGTTTGGTTCCCATCGCTTTTTCATCACCGGTGCCAACAGCTCCTGGCTACTATTCAGCGGCCTACCAAACAACATCTTATCCACCAAAGTAGGCAGCTTTGTCTTCAGCGTCTGCAGAATTTCCAGGTAAGAAGCCATGTAAGAGGGCGACAGGTGCTCCATTAGTAGAGCATGAATCCACTGTGTGATGCGCGACTCCCAGGCCACGCTGGCCATAGCTTTGCGCATTCTAGAAGCGGATTTGTCCGCACTGACCCGTCGGTGGATGGCCTCGTGCTGGCGTTTGTCGTTGGCCAGACGAGCTAACTGATCCTGGTCCAGAATGGAGCAGACTTTCTCGAATAGTGTTTTCTGCATGGGTGTCCAGCCGAATCTATAGAAATAACATTGATAACCAAGTTTTCAAATGGGTCAAACTAAGTACTCACTGATTCACGCGCGCCACCCAATCTTGATCATCAGAATTGTTGTTTTTCACGTATTTAGCAATGCGGGCACACTCGTTCATGGCCTCCTTGGCGGCAATATCGTCGTATGGAGGTACATGTGCCTGCTGCAGCTCCGCCAGCTCCTCGTGCTGTGGATAGGTGTGACAACTGGGACACTGCGGCGGATGACGGACCAGGATGTTCCTGGCAGGCATTAGGCCATTGTGTACATCGCTGCGAGTCGGCGGATCGCGCATATAGCTGTGCTCCATTTTCTCGCAAAAGGAGGACTCACTGGGCGCCGAAATTGTGCTGGACTGGTGGATAAAAACTTGGATTAGTAGTGTTTGCTGAAGGTTAGTGGGAATATTAGTGAGGTGAGTGAATTGGCGATGGGACTCGGGGAACATGCAGTGCTGGTTAATGGGTGATAGAATGCCTCTAGTTTATCATTACACTCTCGGTTGGCGTGGAAGGCGATGTGATGATCAGGGCGGGCGACTTAATTGCCGGCGGAGCCTTTGGGGGCGAGCTGACTTTGATAGATCCCGTCATCGAGGCCGCACTGCCCAGGGAGCCGGCCTTTACCACATAGTAGGAGGCACTTGTTCCGCCCAATAGCGTATTGTTTGTTTTTGTTGCGGTCGCCGCAGTCGTTGTTGTTGTGTGTGTATATGTGGTGTACGTGTTTTTGCCCGTTCCAACGCGGGTCATGAATTTGCTCGGGCTGTAGGTGATTATTGAGGAGGTGATGGCCTCCGTGGATTGGGTGTGATTCCCGCTGGTGCTCGCCATTTCCTTCATAGTTTATTTTCAATTTCGATTTTTACTGGCTGCCCTTAGTTGATTTTCTTCTTCTTATACGTTGTTGTCGCACTTGCGGCGCTGGGAAACAGCTGAAATGGCCACTACCTATTGGCCTTTGGCCTAAACAAAAGTCACACGCGCCTCGCACCGATTTTAACCAATTTTACCAGCAATTCTTATTGATTTTCTGGTATTTCCTAGAGCACTACGCGAATTTTCTTTCTTGCAAAATATGGCGTGCCTGATGGGGGTTGCCACATCTCTGGCGGAAGCATGCGATCCGGCAACTCCGTGACTACCCCGAACCACAGTCCCCGCGAAAATATTTATGCTATTTCACAACAAAAGGCCAGGCAAACGAATATGTATCATTAAGGACCTGCCGAGGACTTACCCCGCCAACCAGGACACTACTTACACTCTCGCTGGGCGTGGGGCTTGTGGGGGCTACCAGCTCTTTCTCGCCTTCCAGCGGCTGGGCCGCGATTTTCTGTTCCTCCTCCTGCGACACATTCTGCGCTACATTCCCGCCGCTCTGCACGAAATTATTAAAGCACTCGAAGAACGACGACATATTCCGATGTGCGTTCGATCAAAACAAAGACTTATTTAATTTTTGACAACAAAAACGCAACAAAAATAATCTGAGCGTCTAAAACCGAGTGATAGGGGCTAGCGTTGCCACCTTGTTCGACAGTTGACCAACACCGCGGCGTGAAAAAACAGCTGATCAGATTTGTTAAAGAGGGAAACTTTCTGAAATTTCGACAAATTTTGGAAAATTAAAGTGAAAAAGGACTTTCTGGCGGCATGGACGAGCTCCAGCAATTGGAGTACCTGTCGCTGGTCTCAAAGATCTGCACGGAACTGGACAACCACTTGGGCATCAACGACAAGGACCTGGCCGAGTTCATCATTGATTTGGAGAACAAGAATCGCACGTATGACTCCTTCCGCAAGGCTCTGCTGGAAAATGGCGCCGAATTTCCGGACTCCCTGGTTCAGAACCTGCAGCGTATCATCAATCTGATGCGTCCCAGTCGACCTGGCGGCGCCAGCGAAGAGAAGACCAGTGGCGACAAGAAGGATGACAAGAAATCGCAACTGATGAAATTGTTTCCCGGTCTGGCTTTGCCCAATGACAAGTACAGCAAAAAGGAGGGCAGCGAGGGAGAGGAGGAGCGAAAACCGGAAAAGGAGCGGAAACCGGAGAAGGAGCGGAAGCCGGAAAAGGACCGGCCCGATAAACACAAAAAAACCGACATGAGCGATGTGGATGCAGCCATGCTGGAGCTGGAAGCTTTGGCCCCGGGTGAAGGCAACCCAGAGGTGAAAGAGACCAGGGAAACCAGTTCCAGGGATCGTCACAAGCGTAGAAGCAGGGATCGGGACACCAAAAGGCGCAGTAGATCGCGGGAGGACAGACATTCAGATCGCCGCAGGAGCAGATCACGGGACAAGGAACGCCGTCGACGCAGCAGATCCCGGGAAAACCGACGCAGGAGCAGGTCTCGCGAGGATCGCGATCGTGACAGAGAGCGTCGACGCAGGAGATCAAGCTCAAGAGACCGCCACGAACGCCGTCGACGTAGTCGTTCTCGTTCTACAGAACGTAAGGACCGAAGAGATCGCTCTAAGGAACGTGATCGAAGCGAAAAAATGCCTCCACCCTCAGCTGCGATGACCGATGATCCGGAATCGGGCAAGATATATTCCGGCAAGGTTGCCAATATAGTGCCCTTTGGCTGTTTCGTGCAGCTCTTTGGTCTACGGAAGCGCTGGGAGGGATTAGTGCACATCTCACAGCTAAGGGCCGAAGGCCGGGTGACAGACGTTACCGAGGTGGTCAGTCGGAATCAGACGGTTAAAGTGAAGGTTATGTCAATAACTGGCCAAAAGGTTTCGCTGTCCATGAAGGAGGCGGATCAGGAGACAGGAAAGGATCTCAACCCGCTGTCACACGCGCCCGAAGACGATGAGTCTTTAAGAGATCGAAATCCAGATGGACCTTTCAGCAGCAGTACTTCTATGTTGAACCTGCAAGGCAATGGGTTGGATGGAGATGAACACGAGTCCAGAAAGCGTGTGACCAGAATTTCCAGTCCTGAACGCTGGGAAATCAAGCAGATGATCAGCTCCGGTGTGCTGGACAGGAGTGAGATGCCGGACTTCGACGAGGAAACGGGCCTCCTGCCGAAAGATGAAGACGACGAAGCAGATATTGAAATAGAGATTGTTGAAGAGGAGCCGCCCTTCCTCTCCGGACACGGTAGAGCTTTACATGACCTCTCGCCCGTGAGGATTGTTAAGAATCCTGATGGATCCCTCGCCCAAGCCGCCATGATGCAGTCGGCCTTGTCCAAAGAGCGTCGCGAGCAGAAAATGCTGCAGCGCGAGCAGGAAATGGAAGCATTGCCCACGAGCCTCAACAAAAACTGGATCGATCCACTACCGGAGGAGGAGAGTTCGCGCAGCCTAGCGGCCAACATGCGAGGAATGGGTGCTGCTCCCGCTGAAGTTCCAGAATGGAAGAAGCATGTAATTGGCGGTAAGAAGTCTTCCTTCGGCAAGAAAACCGATCTTACGCTGGTGGAGCAGCGTCAGTCGTTGCCGATTTACAAACTGCGGGATGACCTAATCAAGGCGGTAACGGACAACCAAATATTGATTGTCATTGGAGAAACTGGTTCCGGAAAAACCACACAGATCACCCAATACTTGGGCGAATGTGGATTCACTGCCAGAGGAAAGATTGGGTGCACCCAACCCAGAAGAGTGGCTGCCATGTCGGTGGCCAAGCGCGTGGCTGAGGAGTACGGTTGTCGGTTGGGCCAGGAAGTCGGCTACACCATTCGTTTCGAGGATTGCACCAGTCCGGAGACCATAGTCAAATACATGACGGACGGTATGTTGCTGCGTGAGTGTTTAATGGAGGCGGAGTTGAAGAGCTATTCGGTAATCATGTTGGACGAAGCTCACGAACGGACAATCCATACGGACGTGCTCTTTGGCCTGCTGAAGACAGCCGTGCAAAAACGGCCGGAACTGAAACTGATTGTCACATCGGCCACATTGGATGCGGTTAAGTTCTCCCAGTACTTCTTTAAAGCGCCAATCTTCACTATTCCCGGAAGAACCTTCCCCGTGGAGGTTCTGTATACGAAGGAACCGGAGACAGACTATCTGGACGCCTCGCTGATCACGGTGATGCAGATCCATCTACGAGAGCCTCCTGGTGACATTCTGCTGTTCCTCACGGGTCAGGAAGAGATCGACACGGCCTGCGAGATCCTTTACGAACGAATGAAGAGCTTGGGACCAGATGTGCCCGAGCTGATTATACTGCCGGTGTATTCCGCTTTGCCATCCGAAATGCAGACGCGTATTTTTGATCCTGCGCCCGCTGGAAGCCGCAAGGTCGTAATTGCCACCAACATCGCTGAAACTTCCCTGACCATCGACGGCATATTCTATGTGGTAGATCCTGGTTTCGTAAAACAAAAGGTGTACAACTCAAAAACGGGCATGGACTCGCTGGTGGTCACTCCGATTTCACAAGCTGCCGCAAAACAAAGAGCGGGAAGAGCCGGGCGAACTGGTCCTGGTAAAACCTATCGGCTTTATACGGAGCGTGCGTATCGAGATGAAATGCTGCCCACTCCGGTACCGGAAATCCAGCGAACCAATTTAGCCACCACAGTACTGCAGCTAAAAACAATGGGAATAAACGATCTGCTGCACTTTGATTTCATGGACGCACCACCAGTTGAATCCCTGGTGATGGCGCTGGAGCAGCTGCATTCTTTGTCAGCATTGGATGACGAAGGCCTGCTTACACGGCTGGGCAGACGCATGGCGGAATTTCCTCTTGAGCCGAATCTCTCCAAGATGCTAATCATGTCTGTCGCCCTGCAGTGTTCCGATGAGATTCTGACTATTGTTTCGATGCTCAGTGTACAGAATGTGTTTTACAGGCCAAAGGACAAACAAGCGCTGGCGGACCAGAAGAAGGCAAAATTCAATCAGGCGGAAGGTAAGTGCATCCTTCTATCTAATGGGCGATTACTAATAAATTTTTCTTTCAGGCGACCATTTGACCTTACTTGCAGTCTACAACAGTTGGAAAAACAACAAATTCTCTAATGCCTGGTGCTACGAAAACTTCGTCCAGATCCGAACCTTGAAGCGCAGCCAGGATGTGAGAAAGCAACTGCTGGGAATCATGGACAGGCACAAATTGGATGTAGTATCCGCCGGAAAGAACTCTGTTCGAATTCAAAAGGCCATCTGCTCAGGATTCTTCCGCAACGCTGCCAAGAAGGATCCGCAAGAGGGCTACCGCACTCTGGTCGACTCCCAGGTGGTGTACATCCATCCGTCGAGTGCTCTCTTCAATCGACAGCCAGAGTGGGTCATCTACCACGAGCTGGTGCAGACCACCAAGGAGTATATGCGCGAGGTTACCACCATCGATCCCAAGTGGCTGGTGGAGTTTGCCCCATCCTTCTTCCGCTTCTCGGACCCCACGAAGCTGAGCAAATTTAAGAAGAACCAGCGCCTGGAGCCGCTGTACAACAAGTACGAGGAGCCCAATGCCTGGCGTATATCACGCGTTCGCCGGCGTCGCAATTAATGGACTAAACCCGATTATGTGTGTAATTTTTTGTATTTTAAGCTCTTAGAAATATAATTTAAGTTAAAACTTCAGTAGCCTTTGCGACCGCGAAAGCGCTGTCGGTTGTCCAGCTGAAAATGGGGATACATGTTAACTTGAATTTATGAATGGGCTATAAGTACCCACCAAGGAGCGCTTGCACTCGTAGAAGGTGTTGCGAAGCACCTGGCACTCTGGTGGCACGTTGTTGTCCTGGAGGCACTGGCGCGGAGTTTTGCCCATTCGGCAGCACTCGCTCTCTAGCAGGCACATCTTCAGGTCTGCCCGCACTCCCGCACATGCTGTCTCATCCGCCAGCCTCTCGTTTCCCTCGTAGCGCATCATTTTAGCTTGTTTTTACGGATTTTAATATATATTTTAAATATTTACTGGAACAGTTACAAAACCAATGGCAGAGCAGCTGATAACTACCTGCCGCATGTGTTGGAAAACGTAAGGCATAATAAACAGCTGATGACATGGCCGTAGGAACTAAATACAACTAGGCCATAGCAGTTATTAGTTTAAAAAAAATAATTCAAAATTAAGAGTTTGTATGTCCAATTTAAAATATCTAATCCTTCGTATCAACTTTGTTTTTTCATTTTAATTATAAAATCCCTCTAGAATAGTTTTTACTACACACATGTAACCTGAACAACTGCCTACGATTTCCAACACTTTAAAGTGCATTTGTTGTCCTCCGCCCGCACAAAAACATTGTCACTTGAATATATCTAAATGTAGCTGCCGGCACAATAAATTAAACAGCTAAAAATGACCTACGACGAGCGCAGTAGTGATGGCAGCAGCTCCAGCGAAACGCAGGAAGCCTACGCCCACTTGCTAAACCCCAAACCGGGACAATCCCAGACGCCGGCTACCGCGATGCCGAAGCACATTCCCTTTCCAGAGCACGCCACAACGTCCGAGTGGCTCAGCGAACTCATCATGTGCGCCTTCACAATGGGTTCCGCAATCGTGCAGTTCATCAACATATACAGGACGAACTGGTGGCTGCCACAGGCGCATACCAGGCACATGGTGGTGGGTTTGTCAGGATCCTTCCTTGATTCTACAGAATATTAATGCACCTTTTTGCCTCCAGAACATAGAACTGATTGATCCTTATCTACGGTATCTCCTACTCATACTCAACTCGCGAAGACTGATTTACTGCTTGCTGTTGGTAAAGATTAAAAAGGGCAACGAGAAGAGCCGGCATTTTATCAGGCTGGGCATCAAATATGGATTCGGGGGCCTGGTGCAGCTGGCCTTGGGTTTTTGCGCCATGAAGTTATACCAGCAGCATACCTACATGTTGCTCCTCTTCTTGTCTTATCCGTAAGCATGAAAGTAATACTTTTTAGTAGAAACTTCTAAATCTCTTTCCTAGAGTGGTTATCTATTTGCTGATCTTCGGCTTTCAACTGGAACCCTTCCTGCGCACCAGATTCGAGCTGCCTGGCGTGTATATTAATGACCTCCCAGTCCACAGCTGCACCACCAATGCGGTGCACATTCGGGACGAAGTGGAGACACTGCGTCACGACTTTAACAAGCGCTTTAAGCAGCTCATCTTCACTTCCATGCTAAATGCCTATTACAGCGGTCTGGTGCCCTGCTGTCTGGCCATCAGTGTCCAGTACAACGTTCTTCGGGCTGCCCAACACTGCATCATCGTGTGCCTGGGTGCCTTCAGTCTGTGTGCCGTGTTTCTCTATCCTGCTAAGTATAGTGATACTTTGCATCGGGCTACCTTGCATTTAGGCTGCTGGCAGCGCATCGATCGAGAGCCGGCGCCCTCGCAGTTGATAGTGGCTGCCAGTGCTCTTGCATGGTCGAAATACTCCTCTTACGGCCACGGCACTGTGGTAAAACACAATGGAGGTCTGTACAGGAGCCAGGGCGTGGTCACAGTAGCCACACCTGGAAACGCCAGTCATGTGCGATTCTATGTAAGTTTGAGAGGTTTTTACTTTACTGTCATTGTATACGCAATTGTTCCTTAACCCCCATTTTGGTTTGTTTTTGTCCTATTTAATAAGTTGCTTTTTTCAGAAACTCTTCCACAACCCCACCATCATCTACTCCACGTTGGCCATCCTTCAAGCGGCCGTGCTGCTGGTGGAGATTGGGTCGCTAAGTGCCGACAGCGTCGAGTGGCACTTCGTGCTCTCCATCAGCTTTGTGGCCTTCACCAGTATGGGAGCCTTTTTCAAGCTAGTGCGGGACTATCTTATCACCAAGGACCTCTACAAGGCGGAGCACGCGGTGGCACCCGATCAACCCTTTCGATTACGCATGAGAGATGCATTTATGTAATAACGATCCAAAGAATAATAGATTGGCTTTTATTCGGCAGAGCTTTCGATTTAGTCATTGGGCTTCTGACAGGACACGGCAAATACCCACGAGCTTCCCTGCTTGTGGTCGCGCACCTTTATGCCGTGCTGTTGGAGCAAGCTCCTCAGGTCATCGCAAGCCGCCAGAAGCTGGATGTTCTTTACATCCCCGGAAGTAGCGTTCTCCCGCATCCTCCTTCGAACGCTTATCACATCGTCCACTAACAAAGAGGGATCGATGCCATGCTCCGAAGATACCCTTTCCTGCACCGATTCTCTTTCCAGCAACTCTGATATCCCAAACGTTACTATGGCACGGTTAATAAAATTTCCGGCGGCCAGAAGAAGATCCATGCAGTAGGCAGGCTCCTCCTGGGCATCAACCTGCTGCTCGTTGATGCACCGACTTATGCTGCTCATCTGATCCATCAGAACGCTAATAGCTCGAGCGGTATCGAAGTCATCTCGCAGAGAATTATCGAACTCGGTTACCGTGTGAGCCAGTTGAGCCCTTAGCGCACCCTCGTCCATTAAGTGTACCGGCTTAAGGAACTGTGTGTAGGCACTCAGATCCGCCCGGAAGTTCTTAAAGCGCTGGAGAGTCTGCCGAGCGGTCGACATTAACTGGTCGCTATAAGGCATGGCATTGCGGTAGTTTGACAACAGGCAGGCCATCCGAAATTCGTCAGCGCTGTACTTCTTGAGCAGGTCCGTCACGGAGATGGTGTTGCCCAGGGACTTTGACATCTTCTCCGGGTCCCCCACCATGTGAAGCTGTCCGGTGTGCAACCAGTAGTTAACCCACTGGTCTGTTTTGTAGCGGGCACAACATTGTGCCTCCTCGTTCTCGTGGTGCGGGAAGCGCAAGTCCAAGCCACCGGCATGGAAGTCCAACTGGCGGCCAAAGAAGAGACCAGCGATCGCGCTGCATTCGATGTGCCAGCCGGGACGTCCCTCGCCGCCCCAAGGAGCTTCCCAGGTGGGCTCGCTACCACTCTTGCGCGCCTTCCACAGCGCAAAGTCCGCAGTGTTCCTTTTTACAGGATCCGACTTCTCTTCGCTTAGACCCAAGTTCTGCAGTTTTCCATAGTTTTGGCTCGTAGAAACATCAAAGTAAACCGACTTGTCAGGCGTAACGTAGGCCTGCTTCTCGGTAATCAGCTGCTGGATGAACTGGACGATGACGGGCATGGTGGTGGTCACATGGCTGCGCACATCCGGAGGCTGTACGTTGAGGCGCAGCATGTCTTGGCGGAACTCTGCCTCATAGGCTCGGGCCATCTTCTGCCAGTCTAGGCCGGAGAGCTGGGCCCTATTAATGATCTTGTCATCCACGTCTGTGATGTTCATAGCGGTCACTAGGTTGATTTTGAAGTAGTCCCGGAGAATGCGCTGCAGGATGTCCACCTTGACGTATGTGCTGGCATGACCCAAATGGGCAGAGTCGTAGACAGTGGGTCCGCAGGTGTACCAGGTGACCATTTGGGGGTTCCGCAGGATCAGAGGCACCTTCTGGCGCATACTATGGTTGTAAATGTTGATGCCCGTGTGTTCGCCAATTGGCTTTCGCCATTTAGGCCTGCTAATTTGTGAAGCCTCATCCGCGAAGTTGCGCTTGCAGAATCGGACATATCCTGATCCAAATTGTCCGTTAAAAGTGCGGAACGCCTCCTTGCTATGGACATAATTAGATGTCAGGATTATAATTACCTCGGCCAGAAATATACTCACAGGCCGAACATTCTCCAAACTGTAAAATTTTGTTAAAGGCTTAAAATAAATAAATTTAAGTTTTATAAAATAATAATAACATCTGATGGAAAAGACGGAGGTTGCCAGACTTGAGCTTTCGGTCCAAAGCTGTAAGGTATAGTAATTTGCTTTTCAAATTATAGCTAAGTAAAAATTAAAAAGATGAATAAAAAATAAAATTTTTAATTAACCAGCAGTAAACATTTTGCATTATCTCAAACAAACATTTTTTGCTTTCATACAAATGTAAGCACCCTACTGCAAAGAGCTGCCACCTGGTCAGAGGCAAACGAAGCCGGCAGAATGCAGTGGCTTAAAATGAAGTTCCGCTTTGTAAACGTAATTTTACTATTAATAAGCTCAACATGTGCCCAATTAGGAGCCGACCCCAACGGATATCTCACCTACTGCCCCTGTATGGGTAAGTTCAGATTCTGATCCTCCTGTAAATCCCATTAATGCGCGTTTTTTAAAGGACGCTTTGGCAACCAGGCCGACCACTTTCTGGGATCGTTGGCCTTTGCCAAGGCCCTAAATCGCACTCTGATCCTGCCGCCGTGGGTGGAGTACCGCAGGGGTGAGCTGCGATCCCGACAGGTGCCATTCAACACATATTTTGAGGTTGAGCCACTGAAGGAATACCACCGCGTCATTACCATGGCGGATTTCATGTGGCACCTGGCCGACGACTTGTGGCCGGAGTCGGAGCGCGTTTCCTTCTGCTACAAGGAGCGCTTCAGCCTGCAGCAGGAGAAGAACGACCCAGAAAAGCCCAATTGTCACGCCAAGGATGGGAATCCATTTGGTCCGTTTTGGGACACTTTCCACATTGATTTTGTGAGGTCAGAGTTCTATGCGCCACTGCATTTTGATGTCCACCACAGCAATGAGGCTGCCAAGTGGCAGGCCAAGTATCCGGCGGAGTCCTGGCCGGTACTCGCCTTCACCGGAGCTCCGGCTAGTTTTCCCGTACAGTTGGAAAATTGCAAGTTGCAGCGATATATGGAATGGAGCCAGAGATACAGGGACGCATCCAAGGATTTTATCAAGGAGCAACTGCCACGTGGCGCATTCCTTGGTATTCACCTACGAAACGGCATGGATTGGGTGAGAGCTTGCGAGCACGTTAAAGATAGCCAGCACCTGTTCGCCTCGCCGCAGTGTTTGGGCTATAAAAATGAGCGGGGAGGCCTATATCCTGAGCTATGTATGCCCTCTAAGGATGCCATTATCCGCCAGCTGAAGAGGACTATTAAGAGCGTCCGCCAAACCCAGCCGGACAATGAGATAAAGTCGGTTTTTGTGGCCTCCGACTCTAATCACATGATTGGCGAACTTAGCACGGCGCTCAGCCGCATGGGTATTAGTGTACACAAGCTGCCGGAGGATGATCCCTATTTGGATTTGGCTATTCTCGGTCAGTCGAACCACTTTATCGGAAACTGCATCTCTTCCTACTCGGCTTTTGTGAAAAGGGAGAGAGACTCACACGGTTTTCCCTCCTATTTTTGGGGATTTCCCAAGGAAAAGGACCGAAAGCATTCCAATGTGCACGAGGAGCTGTAATTAATGAGCAGGAAACTTTACTTAAATACTCTATCAGGACAATTTCCGGTTTTCATTTTAATACGAAAGGTTTTCTAAAAATTTAAACTATTTCTCACTTCATTTCACAAAACTTTGTCAGTAATAGTGATTATTTGTACATCACTTTTAATTTTTTTCTAGTTCCTCGATGTTTAAGCTTAATGTTTCAATTTACAAAATAATGTTTTTAAAGTGTTTTGGAAAACAAAAAATTAACTTTTTGAAAGAATTTAGTTATTTAAAATAAAATGCTATAAGCTTAACACTCCTAAAACATAATTCTCATGATCTTAGAAAGATGATTTTCAGAAATACTAACATTTATTGTTTCAGCTTGAAATCGTAAAAAATTGTATGAAAACCGTTAAATGCCTTAAAAACACTTTAAGATAGATATAAGCTATAAAAGTATTCCTCGCATTTATCGAGACATGGTTCTTCAATCGTTTTTACTTATAAATTTATTCAAGTTATCCAATCCACGCACTCTTGAAAATAATTTAAATCGTATTTCCATTGCCCCGAGGCTGGCATTTGTTCATCATCATTGTAGTTTTGGGAAGTGGTGTGCCTAGTGTATCAGCTTCTGGGTGCGGGCCAAGTCCAGTTGCGCCGAAGAGACGTTCGTAAGACCCTCTCGCACTGTGCTGAGGTTCTCCTTCCAGGCCTGCAGAAGATCACGCAACTGCTCCCACTGTGGCGCTCCAAAGGTTCGGTGCATCGTGGACGAGATGTGGACCTTGTGGTTGGCCTGATCTAGACGGGCGCGCACCAGCTTCGTCTTCAGGACTTCGATGACGAAAGGCTCTACCTCATCTTCGTTGATCTGCAGTTCCTTGGTGAGAGTCTCGAAGGTCATCTCGGGGCTGCTTTCGGCCAGCTGCATGAAGGTCAACAGTCGCATCTTCTTCATGTTCTGCTCATGGTTCAATCCCTGCGAGTTAACAAACTCCCTGTGGTCCTCGTAGAACTGCACGTACGCCGGCAGCTTCTCCGACACGAAAATAGACAGGAGGTCGTGGATAAGGTCACCCTCCAAGAAGCGCACGGGCTTCAGCGCTAGCAGAGGATCCAGCAGGAATGTATTCGGGTCGGCCAGGGCGGTCACTATGCACTTCATCGCGTCCTCGCGGGCCACACAGGCATTGTCCGCCGTGTAGGTGCCCAGCAGCTCGATCATCACCTTTGAAGACAGCTCCAAGTTAGTGTCCTTGGTCACGTCGTGCAGGAGGCGGTATAACTTCTGCATCTGTTCCGACGAAGGCGGGCAGTTGGCAAACTGGGACTTAAGCTGATCCACACCAGTAAAGACCTCCAGCACCTGCTCGCACTGCTTGGCAACCTGGACCAGGTGGTAGTAGACATGGTAGCGCAATGGTGAGGCGGTATCCAAATTGTTGAACAGACGCCACAGCGATTGGAGGCACACCTTGCCCAGCGGATGATTAGGAGCCTTGGTCATCTTCTCGCAGTAGGCCAGCACGATGTTCTCGCCGCGATCCAGAGGTATCTATAATATAGGAGCGGTTTATTTGATGTATATGTTCCCAAACCGATTACTCACCGTAATCATGATGGACACAATGCTGTTCAGGATGCCGTCAATCTGCGAGGGCTCCCCGTCTTTGAAGCAAACGTCGCAGACGCCGATGATCTTGTGCAAATCATCCTCAACTCCTTTGTTGGACTTCTCCGATGAGATTTCGGCGCCCAGCTTCTTAAAATACTTGCGAAGTTCCTGAACCTATATAGAAATTATGGAAAATATTAGTTTTGTTTTGCAGCAAGAGGAAGACATAACCTCAATTCTGGCCATGGGCAGCCCAAAAACATAGATTAAATCGTGAACTTGAACCTTACCTGCTCGTCCAAGGAGAGGTCTATAAAAACCGGATGCGAAGTCATGGTTTGGACAAATGTTATTCCACTTATTTAAACAAATGCAGCTGAAAATAACACGCACACACGTCTTCGGCGTTTTGACAACTCGAAAGGAAAGATAGTGACCTGAGCTGCCGGCCTGGCCCTTTTCCCACTAGCTAGAGATGATCTCACAAGGTGGTGAAAAAGTTTGATTGTAAATGAGTAATAACTAGCTAATAAGGAGGAAAATAATATTGCTTAGAATAGCTTAAGCCTTTACTCGGTTAACAAAAAATGTATGTTTTTTATTCAGCAACTGTAATACGTTTGACATTATATTCAATTGATTTAATGTTTTGGCGGGATTATAGCTAAAGATAAACCAAGAAGAGATAGAGTTGCCGGACTTTGTATGCACGGTAGTTAGTTTTGCAGCACTGAATAAAGTCACTGTGACTGTTTTACAAAACTATTATTCAAGTTATAAAATCTTCATTCTCTGAAATATAAGGGGCACAAGTATTTTTTTATTTCTTATTTCTAACTTTAAACTTACATTTTCTCTATTAGAAAAACCCACAGGAGGCGAAAAATCAAACACTTTTTTAGCCAGTCTGGCAACCTTGGTGTGAGTCTGAAGAGCCCGGGCACACTGTAAAAGTTATATTGCTCGTCAAATTTATATTATATTTGTATAACGGACAAGGGGAGCACAGTCGTGCCAGCTAATTGCGGCGGGGAATTATGAAATACACGGCAGATACGCATCGTGCGGTTTCTTAGGGCCACAGTCTCCGCGGAAGACGGCACCACAGTTTCTAGTCAATTACTATCCCAAAGTTGAACTCGTGATTACATGGCCACCTCGGATTTCGTACTGGGCGGCCTGGCCTCCGTGGGCGCCACCTTCTTCACCAATCCCATCGAGGTGATCAAGACCAGGATCCAGCTGCAGGGAGAGTTAGCGGCCCGAGGCACCTATGTGGAACCCTACAAGGGAATTGTACATGCCTTCGTCACGGTGGCCAAAAACGATGGTATGCTGGGCCTCCAAAAGGGTCTGGCACCCGCTCTGTACTTCCAATTCATCATCAATTCCTTCCGGTATGGCACCGATCCCCCTGCATTGATATTGATTAATAATAAACCTTCATTTCCATTCCCCAGACTCAGCATTTATTCGGAGGCCATGGAGCGGGGTTGGATGCACGACCGGATTGGCGAGGTATCCTATGGCAGAGGACTGATGTGGGGCGCCATCGGCGGCGTCGTGGGCTCCTACTGCTCCAGTCCATTTTTCCTGGTACGCCAAACTTGCGGATTTCGCGGAAGGTTACATAAACGACAACTTATCTAAATGGCCCGCGTGCTCATCAACATTTTTGACCTTCCACAGATAAGAGCCTCTATTGACAACTGTCTATCTGTATCTTAAAATTAATTTTTTAAGATATACAGTACTTAAAATAAGAAAAGAACAGGACTTTTGCCCACTCATTCTGTGATAGGCAGATATTTGTTAGCAATTTTGTGTAGTGCTTTATTCTTTAAGGTTACCAAGCCACTATAAACTAACAACTTTTATGTTATGTTTATCCAATTTAAATTTCTTAACTAATAATCACCTTTGCTGCAAGCAGAAATTCCATTTAATAATAACATGTGTTATTATCGTATTCCAGATCAAAACGCAATTGCAGTCCCAGGCTGCCAAGCAAATTGCTGTGGGCTACCAACACGCCCACACTTCCATGAGCGACGCCCTGCGACAGATCTACACTAAGAATGGAATCCGAGGACTCTGGCGAGGATCGGTGGCTGCGCTGCCGAGGGCTGCCCTGGGATCAGGTGCTCAGATAGCCACCTTTGGCAAGACCAAAGCCCTGCTTGTGGAGTACGATCTGGTGACACAGCCCACTTTGAATTCATTCACGGCAGGCTTAATAGCGGGGTCCATTATGTCGGTGGCCATAACGCCGCCAGACGTGATCACCACCCGCCTGTACAACCAAGGCGTGGATGCCGAGGGACGAGGCCTGCTCTATCGTGGTTGGCTCGACTGTTTTGTCAAGATCCTGCGCTCTGAAGGCGTCTACGGTATGTACAAGGGCTTCTGGGCCAACTACCTGCGCATTGCCCCTCACTCAACACTGGTGCTGCTCTTTTTCGACGAGCTGATCGCCCTGCGCACAAAGTATAATCGCCAATGACCCCACAAATCTGTGGTTAGGTAGTCTTAGTTTAAGTACAAAATTGTTCGACTCGTAGTACCCACATCTTAAAAAATATTTGGTTTTTATTGTTAGGCTTAGTTCAGATAGACAAAATATTTGTGAAAAATGGCAAAGAATATATATTCTATTTTATGTTTTCACATGCTTTTAATAACAATTGTATTTTGTGTGTCTGAACTTGGCTTTAGTTTGTAGCGAGTAGCTAAAAATCCTAGTTCAAATCTCTTAGCTTAGCATAGCCCCATAACCAATTTGTGCCTTCAGTAAGCTAAACTTAAAGTTGTTCCTTTAGTCAATAACTGTGCAATACTTTGGTGAAATAAACCAGTTAATTTGTTACTTTTTAACATACCTTGTTTGCAAGTCTCAATCTGCTGCTTATCTCAAGTAGACCGTTAGTGATCACCAGACTGTGATACAGAACGGTTGTCCTATTGATGGCTACGTCGGATTTTGTGCTGGGCGGCGTGGCTGCCATGGGAGCCGGTGTCTTTACCAATCCCGTGGAGGTTATCAAAACTCGCATCCAACTGCAGGGAGAGCTGGCCGCCCGAGGATCCCATGCTCAGCCCTACAAGAGTGTCTTTCAAGCCTTTGTCACAGTGGCCAAAAATGATGGAATTCTGGGCCTGCAAAAGGGATTGGCTCCGGCTTTATGCTTCCAGTTTGTCATAAACTCCTTTCGGTAAGTGTTAGCTATTATACAACTAAGGAATTCCTTAAATAATATGCCTCATTATCCACAGATTAAGTATTTACACCCATGCGGTGGAGAAGGGTTGGGTGCACAACAACAGAGGCGAAATCTCCTTTGCGAAGGGTATGTTTTGGGGCGCCTTAGGTGGCGTTGTGGGTTCCTACTGTGCCAGTCCCTTCTTCCTGGTAAGCGATTATGTAAATCAAACATTTGAGGTGTCTGCCTTGGCGGACATTTGACAATGTCTAGCCCAGATAAGATAAGACCGCTGATCGCTGATAGGCACCTTTCCGTTCCAGATCAAGACGCAACTTCAGGCGCAGGCCGCAAAGCAGATCGCCGTTGGTTATCAGCATCAGCACGCCTCGATGAGCGATGCGATAAGGCAGATATACCGGAAGAACGGCGTCTTTGGACTCTGGCGGGGATCCATGGCCAATGTGAGCCGTGCTACGGTGGCCTCCGCCGTTCAAATCGCCACTTTTGGCCAAGCCAAGTCTCTTTTAAAAGAAAAAGGCGTGGTAACTCATCCAACTGCTCTGTCCTTCTGCTCCGGCCTAGCAGCTGGATCGTTTGTGTCAGTGGCAATCACTCCACTGGATGTGATCACAACTAGGCTATATAATCAGGGAGTGGATGCCCAAGGACGTGGGCTTTACTACAAGGGCTGGCTGGACTGTGTGCTTAAGATCCTGCGATCGGAGGGGTTGTATGGGTTGTACAAGGGCTTCTGGCCGATTTACCTTAGAAGTGCTCCTTACTCCACCTTGGTGCTTTTGTTTTTCGATGAATTGATCGCCCTGCGCGAAAGGTACGATCTGCACTAGTGACAAATCAAACCTTATAGGAGGAAAACGTAATTTTAAAATCATATGCGCTGTCTTTCGAATAAAACAAAATAAAACATTTATTAAAAAAGCTTCCATGTTCTTTGGCACATAGTAAAGCATATTCTATTTATGTATAGCTACCTATTTAAATGTTTACTGAAGGTTAAGATTTTAATATCGTTAGATTAGGATAGTATAATTAGTTAAACATTTATTTACTTTGTGTTCGCCTTGGAGGCCTCTCCAGCTATAAAATGAGGAAGAACTTTTATAAAATATTATTAAGTTAAATGTACTGAACTATTTATGAAACTAATTTGTTTTTCATTATACCCCTTTTTATTTTGTTTTAATAAAAATTAAATTTAATTATTTTTTAGTAAGTGGATCTATCGATACTATCGATAGAAGGGTAAAAGTGTTATAATATTTTAATTTACCATTTTTGAATTGTTTTTTTTTAATAAATTGAAGTTTATTTATTGAACTTCCATCGAAATTTGTATATCAAGCCAACCATTAAAAGTTGAACCATAAATTTAAACTTTTTTTATCCAATTTACAAAAATTTCAAAAAAATGTTTAAACGTAGAAATGGATAGTCCAGTAATTCATTTAATTTACCCCACTTAAGCTGCAGTTCTTATGTAATTATTCGATATTATTGTTAATGGTTTTACAACTCTGTTGTCTTCTGACGAGGTGAGAGTAAACAAAATGATAACGAAACATTAGCTAAATCCAAAACTAAGGTGAAAACATGACGAAGTCTGATTTTGTGCTGGGCGGCGTGGCTGCAATGGGGGCGGTGATGTTCACCAATCCCATCGATGTGGTTAAGACCCGGATGCAGCTGCAAGGAGAGTTGGCGGCCCGGGGAACTTACGTAAAGCCCTACAGGAATCTTCCACAGGCCATGGTGCAGATAGTTCGAAACGACGGTCTTTATGCATTGGAGAAGGGTCTTGCTCCGGCGTTGTGTTACCAGTTCTTACTTAACTCGGTCAGGCAAGTATTTTGACATCTTATTATTATTTAATAATAACATAGAGAGGAACTTGTTTCCAGCCCTAGAAGGCAGTGGCGGACCCTAACAATATTTCTAGAGGGCTAAACCGGTTTCCGGGAAGGTTCTAATGTAAAGTATATGCCTAATAATTAAATAATTCCTTATCTTGAAATTTACTTTGGGTAACATGTTTCAGCATTTTTTATGTTGTAAGTGGCTTTTTATTAACTCTTCATAACACATAAACAATTTTTCTGTGCGGGTTATTGTCAAATAACTTGCTGAGTATATTTACTTTTCTACCCCCTTATCAATAAACTTGAATTGTTTAATGGAGAACTATTTTCCTTTCTATTTTCCCGTTGCAGATTGAGCGTTTATTCAAACGCATTGGAGTGGGGATATTTACAGAACAAGGATGGCTCAATATCCTTTTACCGGGGCATGTTCTTTGGAGCTCTGGGCGGCTGTACAGGGACCTTATTCGCTAGTCCTTTTTACATGGTAATTAGTGTAAAATCCTCTTTTTCTTCCAATCTAATATATTCTTATTTCAGATAAAGGCACAACAACATGCCCAGGCTGTCCAGTCAATTGCCGTGGGCTTCCAGCACAAGCACACCTCGATGATTGACGCTTTTCTGCACATCTACCGGACCAACGGCATTTCGGGGTTCTGGCGCGGAGTCATCCCCAGCATGAACCGGACGCTAGTCGCCTCCAGCGCCCAGATCGGCACTTTTCCCAAGGCAAAGGCCCTGCTAAAGGATAATGGATGGGTCACCCATCCGGTGCTCCTCTCCTTCTGTGGCGGCTTGGCCTCGGGAACCCTCGTCTCGGTGGCGAACTCTCCCTTCGACGTGGTCACCACCCGGATGTACAACCAACCGCTGGACGAAAAGGGACGCGGCCTCACTTACCGGGGATTGGTGGACTGTTTCACCAAGATTCTTCGAACGGAGGGACTTCACGGAATGTACAAGGGCTTTTGGCCCATCTACCTGCGAACTGCCCCGCATACGACCTTAATATTTGTGTTTTTTGATAAGTTGCTTTACATTCGCGACCTTTATGTTTTCCCGCAAAACAAAAATTAAAACAAAATAAAACATTGATAAAAAAAAAGCTTGGAACAGATAGTAACCCATATTCTATTAATACCTATTTATTTGTTCAGCGGAGGGTAAGATTTTAATATCGTTTGATTTAGGATCTTAAAATTAGCTTAACATTTATATTTACGCTGGGTTCTCCTTAGAACCCCGTCCATATAGAAAAGTTTTAGGAACTTTTATAAGATATTTGTTATTAATTTTTTAAATTAAATAACAAATTTTAAAATTAAATGATATAAGTTGTTGATCTATCGATACTATCGATAGCAACGTTTTTTAATATTTTTATCTTAAATTTTCGAATTTGTTTTGAAAATAAATTTATGTTTAATTTATAAAACTTCCATCGAAATTTGTATATCAATCCAACCATAAAAAGTTCGATCATAATCATAAACTCTTATACATATCACAAATTTAAAAAAAATTAAAAACGTAGAATTTGGTAGTCCCAATAATTTATTTAATTTACCCCATCTAAGCCCCAGTTCAAGCTTATGAAAATCCAAAACTAAGGTGAAAACATGACGAAGTCTGATTTTGTGCTGGGCGGCGTGGCTGCAATGGGGGCGGTGATGTTCACCAATCCCATCGATGTGGTTAAGACCCGAATGCAACTGCAGGGAGAGTTGGCGGCCAGGGGTACCTACGTGAAACCCTACAGGAATCTTCCACAGGCAATGGTGCAGATAGTTCGAAACGACGGTCTTATTGCATTGGAGAAGGGTCTTGCTCCGGCGTTGTGTTACCAGTTTTTACTCAACTCGGTCAGGCAAGTATTTTGAGATGTCTTTTATTTAATAATAACATAGAGAGGAGCTTGATTTAAACCCTAGAATACAGTGGCAATATTTCTGGAGGGATAAACAGGTTTCCGGGAGTGTTCTAATGATATGTAAAGTAAAATCCTAATAATTCAAGGCTTCCTTATCTAGAAATTTACTTTGAGTAACATGATTTATTAATTCCTGATGAATTTTAATGCTTTTATATAACATATTTTCTGGGCGGGCTATAAAATATATTTAATATCAAAATATCGTTTTAAAATATGGCCTGGAAAGGCTTTAACCAAGTAACAAGATAATGTTAAATAATCTTTACCTTGCAGATTGAGCGTTTATTCGAACGCATTGGAACTGGGATATTTGCAGAACAAGGATGGCTGTATTTCCTTTTACCGGGGCATGTTCTTTGGAGCTCTGGGCGGCTGTACAGGGACCTTCCTCGCTAGTCCTTTTTACATGGTAATTAGTGTAAAATCCAATTGATCTCCCAATCTAATTTATTCATATTTCAGATAAAGGCACAACAACACGCCCAGGCTGTCCAGTCAATTGCCGTGGGCTTCCAGCACAAGCACACCTCGATGATTGAAGCATTTCTGCACATCTACCGGACGAACGGCATTCCGGGATTCTGGCGCGGAGTGGTTCCTAGCATAAACCGGGCCCTAGTCGCCTCCAGCGTCCAGATCGGCAGTTTTCCCAAGGCAAAGGCCATGCTAAAGGATAATGGATGGGTCACCCATCCGGTGTTGCTCTCCTTCTGTTCCGGCTTGGCCTCGGGATCCCTTGTATCGGTGGCGAACTCTCCCTTCGACGTGGTCACCACCCGGATGTACAACCAACCGGTGGACGAAAAGGGACGCGGGCTCATTTACCGGGGATTGGTGGACTGTTTCACCAAGATCCTTCGAACGGAGGGACTGCACGGGATGTACAAGGGCTTTTGGCCCATCTACCTGCGAAGTGCCCCGCATACGACCTTAATATTTGTGTTTTTTGATAAGTTGCTTTACATTCGCGACCTTTATGTTTTCCCGCAAAATAAAAATTAAAGGACTTGGTTTGTCCAGGTTACCATGTGAAGAACCTCGAAAATTTGGCAGTCCATTTTTGGTGTTTGTATTTTTATGTATTATTATAATAAAGAGGCAGAATATATAAATAAATTAAACCAAGTTTCTTTCAATTAAGAAAAACATCATTTAAAGTACTCTCCAGCAGAAAAAACTTTGGAAAAAACTGAGTTTTAAATAAAATAAAAGTATTCAATTTTGAAAAAGTCTAGAAACGTTGTTGTTATTGGACGCTTTCCATCTTTTTCTTAAATACTTTTCTTTATTATGTTCAAATTTGGCACCAAAGAAATTAAAAAAATAATGCAATTTATAATAACGAAACATTGTTAGGGCTGCCATTTTAGTATGACCAGCTCGCCCAGTTTGGTATACTGGTCAGCACTTGCAACGGCCACACTAGCATCCAAATAACTGCTGGGAAAGTCGGCGGCGTCGCATATTTTTGATTGTCAACTAATATATTTTGGTGCAAAAATGGCAGCACAGGTAACTCAGGTGCAGCAGTTCTTCAACGGCTACAAGCAAAACGTGAGCCGAGCACTACGCGATGCCTCCAAACCCTGGACGAAGGCCTTTGATTCCGTAGAGGAGAAGACCGGCGTGGACAGGGTCACGATTTTCTTAGGTGAGTGTGTTGTCCTGGCGACGTCATCGCATGTCCTTCAGGAAACTACCTTCCCTATAAGGCCCATTTGACCACCCTGGTAATTGACTGCGTAACCAGTGAAATTCTTCGAGATGCAGTGGAATTTTTGGTACACTTATAAATAGCAACCTGTTATATATAGCGAATATATATGGTGGAGCATAGAAGGGGCTTAATCACCGCCTGGTGACCAATTAGGGAATTAATCATTGACTTAAATGTTTAAGCGCAATTAAATAGTTTTTGTTTTATCACCAAGCGCTCACTAATACACCCATTACTTCAGCTGTGAGCATGTGATGTGTGCGTGTAATCAGCTACGTAGACAGCTGCCGCTGTGTGCGTATGTTATCCACAAAAGTTTCGTGTTTTGTGCTTTTCTTTGTTTACGTTACACATTTTCTCAGTACGCGGTGAGCAATCCATTTCGCGCATTCCATTTTGATATTTCTTCTGCCCAATTCGATCCGCGAAAGTCCAGCTCGACGGGGTCAAAAGGTCCGAAGTTGAGACGTGGCGTTTGGCACACGTGGAGAAAGTCCACATACCTGTGTGCGTAGATCCATTGAGATTATTGTTCGGCCGCAGTTCTCCGGAGTCCGATGTGGCTCTGGGAGTATATTATGCAAATAAGACAGCGACGGGAGACGCGGCGCAATGTCAGAGTTCCCCTGGTTTACCTGGGCACAGGTGAGTGGGCTCCTGAAATGCGGTCATAGTGTCAAAAAGGCAATAGCTTTTACGAGTCGAAGTTTACATACCCTTGCTGTTTGGGCAAATATTGACAAGTCAAAGCACTTGATTTTGATAAAACAACCATATCTCGATAGTATTTACATACTTTCAAGTTTAGTTGGCGGCTACGGTTCTTTTGATTACGGTTCTTTAAAATTACAGCATCATAATTTGCATGAATTTATACTTATACATTATAAAATCGATATTCTTAGCCAATGACAGCTATGGTCTGAAGCTAATTAGTTGCAATAAGACCAGTTAGCTTTACAGTTTGATAACTAGGGTTCATTGTAAACATATCGACTTGCCTGTGACCTTCGATTCTGATCAAGATTGTAAATATTTTATAGGGTCTGTCTCATTCTCTCAGCCAACTTGAAGTCAGAATTGTATTACCCCCTTCAGGGGTATAAATATAATTAGCAGCCGTCTAGCATGAATGACATCATACATTTATGGCAAAACAACAGGCCGTAGTCCGTTCATCTGGGCGGGCAAAATGCAACTGGCCGGGATCAGAAGCAGATCGAGACATCCACTGACAACAGCTAAGGGTTTATAATTAGCCAACTGCATGGGACGGTTTAGGAATCCCAGGGATCCCCGCAGGGGCTCCCTTAAAAGGTGTACGGGTATCTGGCTAAATGCCCTCCAAATAGTTTGTCTGGTGAGAAGAGTGTGTAAGTTTGAAATCCCTTTGACCACCCTGCGCCTTATAGAACCGCTCCTGCTTTGGACCTGGTTATAGCCAAAGGGAAACTACGCCACTAGGGCAACAGCAATTGACCAAATAGACGGCAAACATGGCGGTTGAGGGATTGGAGAGCAAAATAGTGGAGTTGTTTGCAGAGAACGCCCTTCTTCGCTTTGGTAGAGCTCCAAAAGACTCTTATAAGATTTGATTAATAAGGTATTATTTTCTTTTCTCAGGTGCTTCTGGTCTCTGCGCCCTCTACCTGATCTTTGGCTGGGGCGCCCAGCTGCTGTGCAACATCATTGGGGTGCTGTATCCAGCATATATCTCCATCCATGCCATCGAGTCTAGCACAAAGCAGGACGACACAAAGTGGCTGATCTATTGGGTCACCTTTGGCATCTTCACCGTGATTGAATTCTTCTCAGGCCTGCTGACCTCGGTGATCCCATTCTACTGGCTGCTGAAGGTGGGTCTTAAGGGCTTTTGTTTTGATATTGATATGATTTTTAATGTTATCCTCCCAATGCAGTGTGCTTTCCTCATTTGGTGCATGCTGCCCACGGAACAGAACGGATCCACAATCATCTACCACAAGCTGGTGCGACCTTACTTCCTGAAGCACCACGAATGTGAGTGAATTGTGCTCTCGACTGTTAAGTTTAGCTATTTGAGGATCTTTTTTTTCCCCCCAACAGCCGTCGACAGGATCATCGACGATGGCATGAAGAAGGCCGCTGGAGTGCTGAAGCACGACTAAGATGTGGCTGCGTGGATACTGCGCCTGCTGCTCGCTTGCCCATGCATTTGGTTTAGGGCCTAATCACCACCTCACCTCGTATCGGTTACGTTTTGCAATAAATTTTAAATATGTATTCATTTTGTTGTTGATATGAAGAGCACCAGTGGTCGCTAAACAAGAAATCTCCGCTTGTTAATTGTAAAACGAAAACGAGGTTTTTATTGAAGAACTGCGATCTTTAAGCGGTTGATTCCGCCTTTTCAGCTGTGGCCTCCGCTTCGGCGGCTGCTCTCCGGTTCCGCCAGGCGGACATGTAGGTGCGTGGGTGGATGGGCAGTAGTCCGGCGATTCCCAGGAGCTCTGCAGCCGGCGTAGACAAGTGAGCACCTTTTCCCAACCAAAAGCGAATTCTCTCGGTGTTTAGGGCAACCAAACGCTCATTGAAATCGTTAGGCAGGGGATCAAAGGAGCCCACCTGCTCTATGACAGGCTGGTGCTGATTCTTGCGCCTCTAAAAACACAAATATCCCAGTTTATAAGGAGTTGTAACCACTCTAATGGGTCGAAAATACACACCTCCATGACTACAATGTGGTAAAAAGGGCGGTTTGTGCAGCCCAGGCGCACGAATCGTATAATTTTCGCCGACTTGGCATAGAAGCGACCAATGCCACTGGCTGGCGACAGAGACATCCTTTTATTTGATAAATTTATACAAAATGTATGAAACAAAAAATGTGAATATTGTTATGCAAAGGGTGACCGTTCAGGGAACTTTAAAAGATATCAAAGAAAGGGTCACGCTGGCGTTGGCGTTGCCAGACTTTCGAGCAACGATAGTTCGCGCCTTTTGACAACCCTGGCCCGCGCACACACAAGATGGCGTCAGAGAACGAGAAGCACGAACACTAAGGAATTTGTTCAGTGGTATCTGTGTCTGTGAATTATATTGGAGGAAAAAGAGTGTTTTGTTTATAAATTTAATTGCAAAAACTGCACATAGTCACACGGGGCGCGTGCACACACATCGACGCATACGCACACCCACGCCCACGTCGCCAAAACGAGTGTGTTATCAATGAAGTAGTGCCCCAACAACGCCAAGTAAATTTTTTTAGACACCGAGGGACGGAAAAAAATGGCGCCCGCAGCCAGAGCAACTTGACTTTCTTTTCGGTCTATATAGTAGTTCGCCCCCGTCTCGTTGCGGCGAACGAATGCGGTGATTTTCGTCGTGGTTTTCGTCGCAGTTCCGATAGCCCCAACAAAAAAATTTGAAAAGTGCTTAAAAACCCAAACGACTTAAATTTGTTGTGTATATTTTGGCTTCAAACACAGCCGCAAAAATACCATTACCAATTTCCACTTACTACTACTAGAGGAGGCTAGTATTTTGTACGTGCTTTAGAATACATACATACATACCTACATATACCACAAGCAAGCGAGAAGTGCAATTACATTTGCGTTTGGAAATTTTGCGCTTTTTTCTCTTCCGTCCCCCCCGAAATTCCCGCTCCCCTCTCTCTCTCTTTCTGCCTGTGCCCCGCCCCCCACATTGTGCTAAATAATGTGCGCCGCCCAGAATCCGCCGCCCTTCGGCTATACCTGGGGTTTTGCGGACAACGGCAGCCGCGCCACCGAATCGGTACTGGAGATATCGCCCAACATCAACTACACGGTCAGCGGGGAGTCGGTAAGTCTTAAACTACGTGTATATATTTGATAAACCTTCGAAAGCTGCCAGGATATTCCCCTTCCCGCCCCCTTTCAGGTGCATCTACATGTGTGTGTGCGTTGCTGTTGCTTTCCCACACCGAATTGTGTTGTGACCACCAACGCATACACACAAACGCAGACACGCACTGCGTTACACTCGCTCAATTGCCTCACCAACACTCGCTGCTTTCGGCAACGAACTGTGTATGTATACGGGCCGACAGGCATTCACGTACGGTATACGTGGAAAACGAGCGACTACTGCGGCATACAAACTTACATACATTCATGTACGATGTATATATGCATGCGCCACACTTTATGTAACTGCGTTGTCAGGCGAATATACGGGATTGGAGCGAGTGTGTTAGAATTCTTTTACCATACATCCATACGGATTTTTTTCGTTTCCATTTCATTCGTAAACATTCATAATTTGGTATTTGTAAAGCGAATGCGTACACACATTTTACCATGTGTGTGCGGAGAAATTCCAAAAATAAAAACACGAGCACCTGGCCAATGAGTAAATAAATAATAGTCCCCCCATCCAATCCGACCAATTAATTAAGAAGGTCGTGAAATTTTCAGCAGTCTGGCAGCTGGCAAAGGCAATCGATGCTAATCGATATTTTCCTAGACTATGTATCGCTAACCCAATTTTAGTTCTATTAATAATTATTGCCTTTCCTTTTGTTTTTGTCGAGAGTTTATTTTGGAGAGCAACAATTTTTGTTGTGCAATGCATAGGAGAAACTGTTTGTTTTTTTTTTGCGGGCACTTATACAATGGCAATCGCGGCGAATTCGCCGCAGTTGCGCGCCCGTTTTATCCATATGTGTGCGTCAGTGGCGATTTCGCCGCGACTGCTTGAGTGTGTGTGTACGCACGCACACACGCCCAGAAATGACGTGTGCTCTTTGGTGTGCGTTGCGTTTTCCGTGCGTGTGTTTTGATTACTTTTGCCATGCCGTTTTGGCGCCCAACACACACACACTCACATGCCACGATGTCCAATTGTACACACACACCAAAGAGTAAAAAGGCGCGCTTTTCGCAAACATCCCCCTCTCGTCATGACCCCATCCCCTTTCATTCCTTATCATCTGTTGCCGCACTACTGGCTGCGCAGGTGTAGCGTGGTTATTATTGCTCATTGCTTATCAATCAGAGCGAGCAGCGGCAAAAACAACAACTCCATTGACTGCTAACTTGGAGCGTAGCTTGCAGCTCTTAGTATAGCGAGTAGCGACTGTACTAGCCCCCTAAGTTTTAGTTCCCCAAACAAAAGCTTAACGAGGTGAGAATTTCATTCAGAAATATAGGATCAAATTTGAAAACACGAAATCCCCAAAAAAGTTGGATACGATCGAAATAGGTTCTGAACGTACTTAATATTAATTTTAAACTTAACAAACTTATAATGTAGTATACAAAAAAAAATGTAACAGAAGCAATATCTTGCTTTATGTATTATATGAGAAAATGTTAAAGGTAGATCGCTATGTAGATTCATGAATAGCACGTGTTGGTAAATAAATGTAAATTTGCCTTGAGTAGGTGAGAGGTCCTATAAAGAGTGCAACGCTTTTAAAAATTCTGCTAGCATTTTTGTTTTTATTCTTCAATTAATTAGGGAACACTGACCTTAGAATTACCCCATCCAGCAATGAGTATTAAAACCCTTTGTTTCAGATGCCCTATCTGTTATCGACGGATGGATCATTGGCCGTTCAAAAGGATGTCAAAGGCCTTACAGCTGGAGGCAAAAATAATGTCGTGCGTCGCATGTTTGTCGTAAACGATCCTTCATTTCCGCCTGGAACACAGAGGTACGTTTGGGCAAATCCAAATCCCAAATAAGATCTATATCCTATTCTCTATACCATTGCAGAGTTATTACTGCCGGAGGAGCATCGACGGTGGTCAAGAAGCAGGACCCCAACCAGCAAGTTCTGAGCCTCGACAAGAACTGTAAGTGAATCGATTCAAAGCAAGTTAAAGCCCATCGAATCAGTGTTGCACGCATTGCTGTTACTGTGTTGTGATTATCTATATATTTTGGGTTTTCTGTTAATCGATTGTTTTTCTCTCTCTACTCCCGTTTATTTATTTAATTTTTTTTTAATTCTCGCTCGATCTCGCTCGCCCTTGAATTCAACCCGAAAACCGAACCCCAAAATCCACCATCTCTTCCAAAACTCCCACTGTGCTTGTGTGTTTGCCCGTATTGCTATTGCACCTGATCCACCACCGACCCACCGATCATTTCGCTAACTGCACCGCACAAACACAACATCACTACGTTACCATATAACACCACACACCTCATCACTTGGCGGGCGGCGGGCGCGGTCTGATCGAACCTTCTCCAAACGAAACAAAACCGTCGGAACAAACAACAGATCTGCTGGTAGATCCGGCTACGGCCGCAGCAGCTGCAGCCGCTGCTGGTGGGGATCCGGGGCTCGCCCACCACCACACCCTGACCAACGGCAGTATCGTTGATGCTAAGACCGGACAGACGGTGCTAACCGCCGGCTCTGCGGCGGCCAAATCGCACTTCAGCTCGATCGGAGCACTGCATCTCACGCAAGAGGAGTGCAACGAGATCCTGATCAAGCGCGCCATCGCTGCCGGCCACCATCAGACGCACACGATCACCGCTGCCGACGGATCACATCACCATGCGTCCGGCGGGACACCAAGTAAGCATCTCAAATCTGTGTTTGTTACCCCTGCTCCAGACCCTCCTGCCACCTACTCCTTCACACACACAATTGAAGTAATCTGACCGTATACTACCCGGCATATTGGCACATACTCGGTTCCGGTTGCTTTTATCCGGTTGCGTGGAGTCATAACGTTTTACGTTTTGTAATCATAGTTTTTGCCATTTAGTTTGGTTTGCCTAACGTTGTTTTAAGTTTAATTAAGCGATAAACCCCATTATTTTGATTTGCATATTTAGTTTGTTCGTATCTTTGATTTTTTTCCTTTTGTTTCTTCTCTATTTTTTTGTATCTTCCTTTGAATTCCATTTGGCTTTTGTTCCGTTGGCGGTGCAACAACACTCTTAGGTGACATACTTCCTGGTATTTCAGTTCAAGTACAGAAAGTAATACAAGGGCTGGAGGATAACGAAGACTCGCAGGGCGAAGCACCCAACTTAAAGTTGGAGCCAGGCACATTGGAGTTGTCCCCAAAGACCGAACTACAGGAATCAATGCATTTCAGCGAAGTAAGCCAAATACATGCTTTTGTGATTATTATCAATATAATATTTTTAAATGATATATTAATTAATTTCGTTTCTTTTCTTAGACGGACGCCACTATCAAGAAGGAACGCCCGTACAGTTGCGACGAGTGCGGCAAGTCCTTTCTGCTCAAGCACCATTTGACAACCCACGCACGCGTGCACACAGGTGGTTGTTCTTGTTCCTGGCAGATTACTCCCAAACACCGAGCAGACCTAACCATTCCGTTTTCCCCACAGGTGAACGCCCCCACATTTGCACCCACTGCGGCAAGAGCTTCGCGCACAAGCACTGTCTCAACACTCACCTGCTGCTCCACTCCACGGAGAGACCTTATCAGTGTCAGGAGTGCAAGAAGAGCTTTACCCTCAAGCACCATCTGCTGACCCACTCGCGGGTCCACAGCCGCGAGCGACCGTTCGTCTGCCAGGAGTGCGGGCGCGCCTTTCCGCTCAAGCGACACCTGGTCACGCATAGCAAGTTTCATGCCGGCGAGCGACCGTATGTTTGTGAGGAATGCGGTGAGAGCTTTGCCCAGGAGAACCACCTGATTATGCACTCGCGGTAAGTTAAAATAAAAAAGGGAACTTCATGATTTTCCGATATGATTTAATGATTTAATATTCGTTTCTTGTACAGCTTCCATGGTTCATTGAATCCATTTGTTTGCGCTGACTGCGGCGCGTCGTTTCCACGCAAGTTTCAATTGGTAAACCACGGACGTATTCACGGCAAAATACCGCACTCTTGCACTGTGTGCGGCAAAGAGTTTCTTCAAAAGCGAACTTTAGTTGCCCACATGAGGTGAGCTTTGCGA